AGAACATCAAAGAGGCCTGTGAACGGTTCTATAAAGCGCCATCTGGATCGTGTGATGTATTGGCGTCGGACAGAGGTCCATCGTGTACGAAAATGGAACAGCTGAGAGGAAAGAAAGTTTATTGTATTCGTTTTCTTGAACCAAAGCAAGACCCAATTGGAAAGCAGGAAGTAGCTGCTAGCACRAAATCCGTTCCAGTGTCWCCTTCTAAAAGAGTCAAGCAAGCTAGCCCCCTTGACGATCAACCCAAGACAGTTTACCCAAAATCTGTTTCGTTAGGCGACCTTTTAAGGACTGGTAAACTCGTGAAACCTCCACAAGTATTAACCTTGAAGCTAGAATGGTTTGACGTCGAGAACTGCAAATGGATAACCATCCCTTCAATTGATGTAGATATAGAGAAAAGCAGTTTCGCAAGTGGTGCTTTTCGAGACGCTTTTAAAGCAAAATGTACAAAGAAGACCARTTTGGGAGACAACTGGGTCATCAAAAAGTACTCGAAGGAGTCCGTCGACACTATTACCAACACGCTCAAAATGCCTCTAGAGAACCACACTCGTAAACAAGTACAAATGCACGCTGTTGCAAGAAATATTACCGCCCGCTTTGCGACAAAAGTGCCCGTAGAATTTGGTTCTGTATTTAAGTACGGAAAGGTTTACTATTCTACGTGGAACGGATGTCCCGTGACAGTGGAAGAGTTTGTGCCTGGTGATTTTTCCAAGTACGTCAACAATGATGGACACTGCGTTGTCTCCCCTTGCAAGGAATATGATGAAATATTCGAAAAAGCGCAGTGCCTCACGCATTTTAGCTATCTTTATTCAAGGAAAACGTTGATGGTCTTGGATATTCAGGGCTCGAAGTATCAGCTATATGACCCAGAAATGGCGACAGCAGAGCTGAATGAAGATGATGAATTCGAAGAAAGCGATGAAAGTGGTGAATTCTTCTTTTGTGCGGGGAATCTCTCATCCTTAAGCACTGATCGCTTCATAGAAGAGCACAAGTGTAATAAGTACTGTGAGATGATGGAGCTTCAAGAGTTAGAGTAAACTAAGAACAGAAAAGAAATGCACATGTTGAAATGTTGAGTCAGCCAGGCCCAGTATAAGCGGCGGACTTTATCATAGTACTGAAAGTTCATGAAAAGTTCGCCGTTTGAAAGGGGCTCAAAATTTAGAATAAAAGTGCGAAGTCCTGTAGTATCTTACGAAAACGTTGAGTTTTATAGTTCTTTTCTATATTTAATCAGTATATTATTTTTATATTTTCATTCATTTTATTTTGCACTTGATTAATTCATATACGGCATTTGTTTACAATTGGGCTTGTTCATTTCACTTGACAGACGCCTTGCCTTAAGATCCCAAAGATAAGCTTGATGTCCTGAGGTAGATATTAGAAWATTTTATTTTCACAAATTCCCTTTATTTCACGCTAAAAGTTAGYTCAGTATAATTATTACGACCTCCAATTAATTAATTCAAGCAATATTCAAAACAAACTCGAGATCAAATTTAGAACTATATGAGCAGCACTAGTTTATTGCAACTAAAACAGAAACGCGATGAACTGGTTTGAGTATTTCATGCATCCCGAAATTTCTTGTCATTTTCCTTAGTGATACATTAAATCAATAAAATACCTTTACCATGACAGTGTTGAGTTCGATCCAGCTTCAGTACGTTTATATTATAAACTATAGTGATAGGTAAGAACTG